CCTTCCATCTCTCCCTCCCCCATCTCTCTCTCTCTCTCTCTCTCTCTCTCTCTCTCACACACACACACACACACACATACACACACATCTATTAGTGTATTTGATGGTAATGTAAAATTCCCTTGGGCTCTGTTCATAGTACATTTTTTTCCTCTACAGACTCTTTAATTTCAAATACCTTATTTTCAAGTTCAGTGGTTTTTTTTTTCCTTCAGCATGTTCAGTTCTGTTGTTGAATCTCTCTGGTGAATTTTTCGTCTCAGTTGTACTTCTTAGCTGCAAAATACCTATTTGGCTCATTTTTATAATGGCTCTGTCATTCTCTAGCCTCCTCTAGGTGCTTTCCACCTTCTTGTCCTTTTTCTTTAAACGACTTCACCACTAGAAACTTTACAGTTACTTTGTGGTTTCTACCGTTTTTGCCACTGTCTCACTGTTGCTGATATGCAGCAGGATTTGAGTACACGAATCCAATATATTACGCTTTCTTCTACCCTTAATACTAACCACCTAATTAATAGTGAATACTATCAATTAGAACTATATAGCTGCTATTTTACTTTAAATGTTTTCTTCCTCTTCATTTATTTATTGTTTGGTGGTGGTGGTGTTGATGGAGCTTTTGAGACTGGATCTCCTTATATTGTTCAAACTCTTCTCTTATAGGCTAAAATCATTTTCCTCCCTCCATCTTTAATGTATATAGAAGTACTTGGCACAGGTTTTTGGGTTTTGTTGTTGCTGTTATTGCTATTGTATCCTGTCTTTTGCTTACACTTAAATTTGGAATTTAAACAAGACATAATATTTTGGTCTTGGCTTAAATTTGTAACATGCAAACTTAATTCATTTCTCTCCTGTTTATAGAATAATTATTTTCTCCATTCTAAGTAAACTAAATCAAATCATCTTATATTATATTTTTATTGCCATTATGTTTCTAATTTTACTTTTGCTAAATTAGACATGCTTATTATTATTTCAACCAAATGGATAATTTAGTCCTGTACATCCTTTCAATGTTTATCTGTAGTTATGTGTTTGAATGATAATTAAATATATATCCTTTTTTATCCAGAATGTGCAACATCATATTGCAGAGCAACCCTTCAAGCCATAAAATCTATTTCTTTACTCATTGTCTCTAGAGATCATAATATGACTTTCTTTTGACAGTAAAATGTTAGCAAATGTGGTCATGTAAACAGAACCTAGAGAAGCACAAAGATACTATAGGCTGCTATCTTCTTACACTTTAAATCCCAAGGTTGCCACACAAGTAATTCTGAGCCAAGCTACTAGAGAATGAACCAAATGGAGATGACTGAGAAACACCAGTCAACATCCAGCCTGCTGTCAGAGTTGTAAAGAAATCATCTTGTGTCCTGCTGATGGTCCAACTGATCAGAGACAGATGAGAGAGCTCAACAGGTATAAGCTTAGCCAGGCCAAACCAGAAAAACCATCAGAATTGGGACCTGAGGAAAATGGCTAATCTGTTACCCTCTAAGTTTTCTAAGTGAAATTAAAGTAATTTATATCTTCATTTCATTTTGTTTCCTATGAGAATTGATGTCTATTGACAATTCTAGGAAATTTTTAATGATTAGACTTCTAATAGTGCCAATAACTTCCTTCTCTCTATTATCTCCTGAAATTTTCAAATATACTGACATATATTCATGTATTCTGTGCATAATGTATTACCTATATATGATATACATGTATACAGGCATAAGTATATTAAAAGTTGTTTTAAAATTTTTCTATTTATCTTTTTTTATTATTATCAAGGTGATGTACAGAGGGGGTACAGTTACATAAGTAAGGTAATAAGTACATTTCTTGTCAAAGGTGTCACCCCTTACCTCATTTTTCTCCTACTTTCCCTCCCCCACCCTCCTGCGCCCCGACAAGTTGTACAGATCATTTACAACATATTGCTGTTGGGCTGGTTCCCCCCTTGCCTTCTGTTTCACCATTCTGTTGTTCCCCTTCCCTTCCCTAATTCAAATACACATTACCTTTTCTAAATTGTAATTTCACTTTCTTTTTTCTTATCTATAGAATACCCTTAGGGGAATGATTGATTTCATGAATGTTCACTCTGTGTCTAATCTACCATGTAGCAGGTTCACTGAAGGTTCTTCTCCCTTCAGTGACTATATTTTTCATTTCTAGAAGTGCTTCTTATTTCAACTATTCCTGGACAAATTCATCACTGCTAACTATCACACATTATTGCTTTGTTTCTTTAAGTATTTTCAACACAGGGATTTAAAAAACTTCTGAAGCCCTGGGAGAGCTAATAGAAGGTTTTCCCATTAACTGTCATTTGTGATGGTTGAAAAACCACTGCCTTCATAAACTTAATTCTATAAGTATTCTGTGAGGTCTGCATCACCGCTGATGTTATCCAAAGATAATTTTCATTTTCTCCATCAGGAATCTCGAGGGACCAACCCAGGACCACTTTGAGACAGTTGGCAGAGCTCCATGTTTCAGGTCTATTCAGGGAAAACACCGTAGTTGTATCCTCAGGGAAGTACCTTCTTTTCTTAACTGGAGATGAGGTGCTAACAGACTTGTTACTAGATTGCCTTTCTTTGCTAGAAAGTAAACCTTTCCTTTTTACCTTTTCACTGGAGGTCTAGTTTTCTAGGTGCTGGCTTCACTTCAGAAGTTTCCATTCCAACTCCCAAACATGCATGAGCTCTGAGAAAATTCTCACATCCCACACCAACTGTTGAAATTTACAGTTCCAAAAGAATTTGTATGCATTGATGTGGGCAGGCAATGTGCTTTAGACACCTGGTAAAGTAATTTGGCAAGTTCTTATGATGTTAAGCATACACTTAATGTAAGATTCAGCAATCTTACACCTACATATTTATCTAAGAGAAATGAGAAATCTCTGCTCACACAAAACCTATATGCAAATGTTTATAGTCACTTCAATGAACTCAAATATCCATCAACTAAGGAATGAAAAAACAAACTGTGGTGTGAAAACACAATACAAAAGAGTCACTCACGAAACATAGATGAGTCTCACTATCATCCTTAGGAAATATAGAAATATGAATATAGTATGTATACATAGATATATATAACTCCATTTCTATAACATTCTGGAAAAGGTAAAATCGTATCTTTGGTTCCTAAAGATTCCCCTTCTTCTAAATGCAATGATGAATTTTTAAAGAATTCTGTTGTATTTTTACCTAGCATTTCTAGACATTTTGGATTGGGAAGGTTTTTAGAATACCTAGTTCACCAGATTGCCAGCGGCAAAAATCTGTCATTCTCATGCAGAATAAGACTATCTTCAAATGTGATGGTGTTTTCAGTTTTTCAATCCATTTTATCACAGTATAGTCATGTTTCCATGCAGTACAAGAATATAACACATTGCATTACTTCCTTCATAGACAAGAAATATAGAGCTCAGGAAGTAAAAGTTTGTTTCTTATTGTACATATAGGCATCAAACCTCAACTGGTTTGGATTTAACTAGAATGACCTCCAGAAAAGGTCAAGGAGATACAATCTTTTATTCATGTTTGCTTAGGTGGTATGCTACCATTTGAGCCTGTCTCTGGTCATGCTTTTTGCTACTTAACTGGAGACAGTCTCAGGAACTTTTCTTCCTTAACAAGCTTTGAAGCATGATCCTCACTATCTCAGCCTCTTGAGATAATAGGCCTAAGCCACAGACATCCAGTCAAAAGACACATTCTAAGAACCATTTAAATCATGCATGGCAGCACACTGAGCCATATGTATGTATGTATATATGTATGTATGTATGTATATATGTATGTATGTATGACCAAACCACCTAGCACTCTGCCTAGTTTCAAAGCATCTCCTTTATAGAGTCCTTGTGACAATAAGATGACTTCATGTCAAATGCAAAAAAGTAAATGGCACACCATTAAGAAGTATCCAGCATGCCAGGCTCCTCTACTAGTATAATCATATTCAATGCTGCCTCCAACAACACTGAAGCTTGGATATTGTCCATATGCACATAAATAAGAAAATTAGAACTTACTTTGAAGAAGCCATGCTTTTGGTTGCGCTGACCAAGCCATAAACTGCTTCCTGGAGGAAAGTTGGTCTCTGGAGGATCTATCACGCGCTCATAAATCCTGCAAAGGTGAAGAACACCGTTACTAATAGAGATCTGAAGCAGAACCAAAAGGTATATAGGCTGTTTAAAGTACCCCAAGGTAAAAATATGATGCCAAGATACCCTATGATTTCCATGCCAAGTAACATGAGTATAGAGCTCTGTCTCTGGAGAGTACTTGGAAACACTGCCTGGGCCCCTTCTGCCTTCCTGTCATCTCCCTTTGGGAAAGGAAGAAAGAAAAAGGAAATGTTTTGAGTGTCTAACTTTACAAAAACCCTGAAGAAAGTGGCTTCATCCAAACATCACAGGTGGAGAAGCTGTTCATACTTACAGACCAACCAAGTGACCATGGCAACAAGCAGTGGAATTAGAATAAACCCTCATGTGTTTGGCTTAAATGACCACATGGTTCCCTTTGCAACCTATCGCTCTGACTTTAGTTAATGTAGCTGCTACTCATTTTTTTAATTAAATTTTAAGCAAATGGGCAGTGGTTATTCAGATATTCAGCTGAATAACTGAAGCTATTATCCAATAAAAATATTTATTTCAAGTCCAGTCCAGGCAAAAATGTGAGCAAGGGTCAGGTGTGGTAGTACATGCCAATAATCCAAAGAATGTGAAAGGTACAGATGAGATGATTTCAATCTAAAGTTGCTCTGGGTAAAAACAAAGAGGTTTTATCTGAAAAATGACAAAAGCATAAAGGGCTTGAGTCAAATCTGACATGAGTCAAATGCTAGCATGCCTGCTTAACAAACATGAGGTTCTGAGTCTAAACCCCAGTATTGTCAACTACATCTTCCATACTAGATAATAGGAAAATTGAGTAATAAACCAGACACACAGGCACTACCTCCCTGGAACAAAAGGGAGATGGCATTCCTTAGATGAAGAACATCTTCAACTGATACATAATAGGCATAGACCAGTGGAGGCCACAGTTCTTTGACGATGGCCACAGAGCCTGCAGCACAATTGAATGTCTCAACTGATCAGTCCTCCCAATGCCCAATTAATCAGTCTCAGTCTTCAAACTGGTGTTTTCTTCTGAAATAGTCTATACTACCACCCGCTGAGTATAAGCCTCCATCTCAGTCCTGGAAAGTACCTCTCAGCACCTGAAGCTCGGAGGATTCTCAGTGGAGTGAAATGGAGGTGATTGATAAATTTGGAATTCCACAAGAGAACTCTTTCTATTCCCATGTTCACAAAGACCAGTGCTGATGAGTCATTCCTCGGTTATATCTAGAGGTTAGGACAACTAATCTGACCTCTCTGCTGAGATGAAGCAGGGTGTCTCCTGCCAGAGAGTGACACGTTCCTCCAGTGGTCATCAGAAGGACAGCGCAGAAGAGCTGAAGAGAGTGCAGTTGTGTCACAGAACTATAGCATTGTGGGGCTGCCAGGCTGTAGCTGTCTATACAAGCTACACAGACTGTTTCTCTACCATTGCTCTCTGGAAACATACAACTGGCAAAGAATATGTAACAAGGTATAATTAGAAATATGAACCCTATCAGGAAGTATATCTGGTCTTTCTCTACTAATTATCTTTCCATTATAAATGGAGACTCAAAACATAATTAAGGAAAAATAAATAAGTTTTTCTTTAAAAAGACAGACTGTGTTTTCTTCCTAGGAATCCAATCTTTTTTCTATGTTAGAATAAAGCAATTTGGATGAAACAATTTGTCAAAACTGCTTTCAAACAAGAATCTACTATATACTTCCTTAAAAAAAATGTTTTCCTCCTAATAGTAGTGAAAAAAAGTTGAAACAAGGCAAATTTACAACAAAAGAAAAATGCATAACTTATAGCAGAGCAGCATGAAAGAGTTTACTGCAGTCATTAGGAGTGATAAATATGCAGGTTATGAAAAATGGGTAAGTATATACAAAATAATTTCACTGGAGAACATGGAATGCAAAATTATTTATGCACTATGGAAGATAACGATGCAAAAATTATGTTCACTGTTGATAAATATGAGCAAGAGAAGAGAGAAATGGAAATCGCTGTATTTAGGAGAAGTGGTGGAACATAATTTTCTATACGACTGTTTGACTAATAAATTGAAAATGTTGTCAAACCATTTGCCTGAGCTTTCATTTGAAAATATTTGCCTCTGTCTAAGTGAAAGGAGCTTTCAGTGCAAAAGCTTTCTTCTTGGTCTTCAATATACCAGCAGATGAGCTCCAATGAGCAAAGTAGACGCTTAATCAATGTTTATTAAGTGCATGAGTGAATGAAGGACAGAACAATCAAAAATATCAACTTCCTATCCTGCCTTATCTCCCACAACATAATAACCCCTTATGCTTTGCAAATACTTGAGAAAGCAAACGTCTGAGACCCAGCTTCATCAGCTAACCACAGGATGACCCACAGCATACATCATAGTGGCGCTCTGATTTCCTCTTCCTGTCCCTACCACAACCGCCTCTTCTTGCCCAGGAAATTCTGCTATTGGCTACTTTTCCAGCACCCCTGCCTATCACTTCCAAAAGGTGATTCTTGGTAAGTAAATTCCTTGCAGCAGGCAAAACAAGTAAATTAGTCACAGATGTAGCAACAAAAACAGAATAACAACATAGTATTTTAAAAAAATAACTCATGGGAGAAATCATCAGCTGCAAATAACCTATCTTTTTTAAGCAGCTTGTGAGTGACAGATTTGGGATTTGAACCAAGCTCACACAATTGGTGCTATATCCACTTTCCAATGTTGTCTCTGTAGATTAGCAAGAATAAACAAAAAATACATCCAAACTATGATTCCCACCCCCATTAATATATTATGTCCTAAGTATTCTGAGTTAAAATACAGACCCAGAAAGAATGAAAGCTTGCAGAGCAAATAATGAAATAGATGTGTTGTCCTCCCTGTTTGACTCAAAGTACTTAAAGCTTGGGTAGAGTTTTTAACCAGTCTGAACAGGAGAGGAAATGATTTGCACATTATGCTAAGTCATCTCTTCACACACAGTTATTTATTTTGTTTTGCCTAAAAAAGAAACTTAAAAACTTAACTCATTGTTGCAATGGTCCACCTGTATCCCTATTTAAACAATTTGTTTTTTCCCCTCCCCTCCCCAAATTATACCAACATCAAATACAATGAAAACAGGGGTTATACCATGGGGGAGGGACATACAAAGCAACAGAAAAAAATTACATGGTAAATACGTTAGAAATAATGAGATGTACAAGATGATATGTTGAAAAATGAACTTTACAATTTAGGCGAGAGGGGGGTGTTTGAGGAGGTGGGAGGGAAGGGATGGTAGGGGAAAAACAAAGGAGGAGGCAACAGTGCTTGATAAGAAATGTACTCATTACCGTGCTCATGTAACTATAACCCCTCTGTACAGTATTTTCACAATAAAAAAATTATTTAAACAATACTTGACTCATTCAAGTAAATTACAATTTTCTAACTTGACCCATTTATCAGAAAGGAAAAGGATACAATCCGTGTGACAATGTAGCCAAGATTGTTTTCACTCTACCTAAACCAACTGGATTTAGTCAATTCAGAGAGTTTCTGGGAGAATTAAAATGTGCCCAGTGAGCCAGACCTATTATTCTATTTTTTTTGGGGGGGGAGTCCGGTCATGGGGCCTGAACTCTGAGCCTGGGCGCTGTCCTTCAGCTCTTCAGCTCAAGGCTAGCTCTCTACCACTTGAGCCACAGCGCCACTTCTGGCTTTTTTCTTTTTGCTTATGTGGTGCTGAGGAATTGAACCCAGGGCCTCAGGCATGCAAAGCAAGCACTCTCCCACTGAGCCACCTTCCCAGCCCCCTCACACATCCTTTTTGATGTGTTATTTTTTACGTGACATAAATGTCCCGTATGTTATTTCTCTGCTGGTCTGGGACCCTTTCCCCTTGAATGATTCTCCAGCTTCTCCTGTGACAATATAACCATTACGCCTATGTACTTACACTGGGGGCTCTGGAATTCTGGTCGTGACTGAGTCTGCCTTTCCAGACTACGAGGCCAAGGAAGAAGGAAGCTGGCTTTCCTAGTATTCCCTCACCAAGTAGTTTTAATGCTGAATTCCCTGACTGATACCATTGCTTGACCTGGAAAATAAACGGATCCCTCACCACAGCATACTTGCTTCTTGTCAGTTGTTTCCTTTATTGATTGACCCTCCCTGATTCTCTATAAAGGAGTTCCAAATCTTGGTCATTCTTCTCCCCTTACATTGTCTTATCCTTATCAAAGCAGATGACTCTCCAAAGTTGTCTCTTTGCTGAGTATCTGACACCACCAGATACAATGACTTGGCAGCAAAGATTTTCTCTGCCTTTTGCGAAGTCAGTATTTCTAAGTGTCTAGAGGGGGAAAAGAACATAGCCAGAACAAGTGTCTATTCTACATATTGAGTGAATGAATGAGTCCATGAATATATGACTGATGAGGAGATGAATGGATGAATAGATGGATAGATAACAGCTGTATGACACTAGCTTTGGAACAGCAGGACCATAGTCCACTATTTATAAAAGCCCTGCTAGGACAAAACTTTAAAATGTGCTTATTCATAATACAGAATAATTCAGAGTGAAAGAGCAGATTGTCAAAGTGACACTTTATGCACACAATCCTTAGGGAAAGAGCCAATAAAAATTAGTGAAATGTGAAAACTCTTTCCTAATATCTTTCTTCTACCACCATAAACTGGGAAGAATGAATAAGATTAACCCTTCTGACTGTGTTTCACTCTGAAATGAGCTAGGGATAGAAGTTCAAATCTGTCAGGCAACTCACTGATAAGAAAGCGAAACAGAGCCAAGTATAGGAGGCTCATGCCTGGAAACCTAGTTAGAGGAGTAAGGAGATGCCAGATAAGAATATTCACTAATTTGAAAATATAATGAGATCCAATCGAATCCTCATTTTCTGATTTTTGCTTGTCTATTTGTTTTTGTTTTTTGAGATGGGGTCTAGTCTTAAACTCACATCCTCATGCCTCAGACTCCCTTCTTCCCTTCCTAGTGCTGAGT